GAACTTCCGAAAACTCGAACTCTTGCTAACTGGAACTTTTTTCGATTTCCCTAGAAGGTTCGAGTTAATTATCGGGAGTGACCTGTATTGCTTTTTTTTTTTCATCTTGTTACTGACTAATAAGATGTTCCGAAATAGGCTTCCTGCTTTTTGGCACCTGGGGCAGTTTCACAACTCCTGGTTGTCGACATAAAGTGCAGTAAAGCGTGTTGAAACTTGGGAGATAAGAGCGTTTTCCCACTCTTTTATTTGGGTACAAAAAGGGTAATAATTCTACAGCGTAACTGCAAATTAATAAAGAGAATCAAACATCTTTTGTCATTGAACACAGGCATTACGCTCTTTTTCTATATCCACCAAAAGAATAAAAGGATCCTGACAACCCGACGAGTGAAAATAACGGTATCATGTGATATTCATGCAAGACAAAGTTGTTTCGTATTTCTGTTTTATATGGTTCAGTTTAGAAATAAAATTGCTAGGCGAAGGAAAATTCCAGTGATGACGAAACATTGGTTCAGTTGATCTGAAACATGTGAAAAGAAAAGACTTTTTTGGATTATGTGTTTCATTTTCTTTTGTATATTATTCCGTTTTAAAAGAAACAAACTGAAGGTCAAAGCAATTCTTTTCAGTTCTCGGCAGTTCGTTCAATGAAGAATTTGGGTTTATAATTCGCTTTTTTAAAAAATTTTGTAACTATCCAGGGACACTAAAAGGCAAAACATCTTTAAATAAGTAACCCATAGATTTTTCATAAAACGAAAATAATTTCGTCAGCCGTATTTAAAAAGGTAATTTATTCTGGCGTTTTCTGAGGACATCAGTCGACTTTTCTCTTAGTCTTATCCTTCATTTCAATGAGGGTGATCTACAGCTGTAAACATGTTTGAATTTGGGAAAGTGAAATATTTGGAAAACAGAACACTAATACCTGCGAGGAAGAAATGATTTGTTAGGGTAGTAACTTAAATCTGAGCCCCGCTATCAAGGAAAACCGAGGAACTAACAAAGAAAAAAAACATTATTTATAAATTCAAGCCTGACCGCTTAACTAATATTATTTTTTATATAGTTCCCTGTTGCACGATTTTTTTAACTCGTTGCGGCTGCCTGTCTGCAATAAAATTATTTTGAGAACAGTGTCTGTGATAGTCATCGTCTGCTAATGAGCTCCTGAGACAAGCAATAAATTAGTTGTCTGAAGAAAGCGAGACATCCATCAAGTCGATCATCAAAGGAGATCGACGTAAAGCGAGTGATGCTGCAAACGAGTAATTTTGACCAGATTTTAAACATTTGCTCAAAGGCTAAATGCAGACTCTCACATGTTTGAATTGTGCAACCATATGGTTTCGTTTATTTTAACTGCCTTGAAACGTTATCGTGACCATCATGAGGATTTAACCTATATTATTTTAAACATCAAAACAACTGCTCATTATTGGTTAAAATAACCAATAAGAATAAGGTTATGGATTTTAACTAATTTTTAACTTGGAACTGGTTATAACCTTATAAAAAGGTTACTACAACTGGTTAGTTTTTACAGTGTATTTGGATATCTTTGTACTGTAGAATGTTTTGTTCTTTCTTAAGATTGTCGAATTGTTATGCAAAGTTGTACTATTCAGCTTCCTGCATTTTGGCACTTGAGGTTTGTTTGTTTTTTGTTTGGCGACATAAAGAAGAAGAAATTTGTATTTGCAATTATTTAGTGCAAATTAAGCGACGTACCTTCCTGGTGACCCTGCATGGTTAATAAAAGACCCTGGCTGGTAAGTGTTCTTACAAATCTTCATTACTAAAAAACGTGATAGTTTTAGATGACAGTATCGAGCTATTATTTGGTTAAAATTTTGTCATCTGTCATTGATTTGAATACGCCATAAGCACTAAGGTTTTTTGAAAAGGCTACGCTGGGTACCAGTTGCATATGAAGACATTAAACAATCGCTGTAGGGTCAACGCTCAACGCTCCGAGATTTAACTAACGTTATTTGAGGTCTGCTATGGTGCTGCCTAATTGAATAGAGGACCCAATGGTCATTTCTTTTCCCGCCCTTTTATTATTCTTATCAACTTTCGCCCTTATTATTTTGTCGAAAATGCGGAAGCCATGTCGGTATTTCGCGAGTAAAAATTTTTTTGAATCCGTTGAGAAGGTAAAGAACCGGAGCGAATTAAATTTATTTTGTGATTTTCGTATTTCTCCATTTTGACACAGTCAGCTTGGCCACTTAATAAACAAGATCAGTCCATAAAGTTTAGTCTTCATCAACGACTCGCCATTTGAATTTTATCTAGAATATAATCAACTCCTCGCTTTTTTTCGTTATTGACAACTTAGTAAATAAGGCCGTTTTAATAATAACTTCTGCAATCAGCACGTTGTTTGAACGAACGCATGAACTGGTCATGGAAAATGCGAAAAACGAATTGGCAATGTAACATAATACAACAAGTCCATGTTAACTACTTTCAATTACTCAACATAAGGGAATTAAGCGAAAAAAAAAGGAGTTACGAGTCGACTAGCTTTGGATCTATTATATCGTATGGACTTGTAATAATAGAATGATGATGATCAGTTTGAACACTTGCTATCGGAATTCAATACCTTTATTTATTACTTTAATGATAAACTATAATTAGTTATCAAGATACAAAACAAAGTTCACTGTTATGACTGTATTAATGTCTTGTTAAATCTGCGGTAGACTCCCGTTAACTCGAACCCTCGCTAACTCTAACCAAGGATCGATTTCCCCCGTATTTCCTTCATACATTTACTAGAATTTTTACCATAACACAAATCCTCGATAACTCGAACCTCCCATTAACTCGAAGTAATTTTCGTTTCCCTTCAGATCAATTCTATACTATGTTATAAATTTACCCTCGATAACTCGAACCATGCTTTAAGCGCCTGACCAGTCGGGAAAAAGTGTACTACAGTCCGAAAATTGAAATTATTTTTGTCTTAGTCTTTACTTTTTTTTCAGTCCAGTTTAAAAACAGCGTCTAGACTCCAGCACTTTATATTTATAAAGCTTTGGAGTGTGCATTTTTCATTCATTCCACATCTCATTTCCTTATTTCCAGTTGTTTGCTCCGAACTCCCGACAACTCGAACTCCCGCTATAACTCGAACCCCTTTTTAGCTTTCCCTAGAAGGTTCGAGTTGTCGCGAGTCGCCTGTATTGCTTGTTTAATGTTTTGTTTCCTTTTTTTGGCACCTGAGGCAGTTTCACAACTCCAGGTTGTCGACATGAAGTGCAGTACGAGCGTGTTAAAACTTGGAAGGTAAGAGCGTTTTTCCGTTCTTTTATTTCGGTACAAAAAGTATAATAATTCTACAGCGTAACTGCAATTAATTAAAAAAAGCGAAAGATCTTTTATTATTGAACACAGGCATTTCGCTCTTTTTATATATCCACGAAAGGAATAAAAGGATCCTGACCACCTGACGTGTCAGATTGTGATGAAAGTAACACTATCATGTACATGTATTGAATATTCATGTAAGACAAATTAATAATGTTCCGTATTTCTGTTTTATATGGTTCAGTTTTATAGAAATAAAATTCCAAAGCGAAGGAAAATTCTGATGATGATAGTGAAACATTGGTTCTATCAGTTGATCTGAAACCTGTGAAAGAGAATAAAGGACTAATGTTTAATTGTGTTTAATTTTTTGGTAAATTATTCCGGTTAAAAGAAAAAACTCAGAAGGCGTAAGCAATTCTTTCCAGTTCGTTCAATGAAGAATAGAGTTTATTCGCTTTTAAATTTTGTCACTGCTGGGCGATCTTGAATGGCAAAAACATCTTTAAACAAGTATACAAGTAAGCTATGGATTGTTCATAAAATGTGTGTAATTAAATAATTTAGCAGTAAATTGACAAAGACACGTCACAGTCAATTACCCTGCAGCCCTGAATAAATTGACTAGAAATACGGCATGGAAATAATTCTCTGGCGTTTTCAGGACTCGACTTTTCTCTCACAGTTTTATCTATTCATTTGAGGGTGATCTACAGTTCTAAACAAGTGTTCGAATTTGGGCCCAAGGTGAAACATTTAGAAAGCAGAAGACGGGCCTATAATACCGACGGAGGAGAAATGTTTAATAAGGTTAGTAACTCAAATCTGAGCCTTGCTGTCCAAGGAAAACCGACTTAACATTATCGGATCACATTAGTTTAATCATCGAGGAAGTAACAAAAAAGACATAATAAATTCAAGCCACCGCATAATTTTTACTAATAGGTGCAATCCATGTACTATTGGTTGTAGCAATCGATGTTACGTCGACTTTCCAGTGGCACGGTGATTCTCAGTACAACACTTACAAAGCTGTCCATTGGGAAATGTTTTGAAATCCTTGTGGCTGCCTGTCCGATAAAGTCTGGTGAAAAGAATGTCTGCAATATTCATCCAATCGGCGAATGAGCCGGTAAGTCGAGATAAAAATTCGTTTTTGTGAAGAAAGCGAGTCATTCAGGGGTGGTGAGAGAATGCAAACACGTCATTTTGAGCATGTTTTTGTTCAACTTCGTTTAACATTAGCTTTTTTTCTTTCAAACGTGTTTTAAACTTGTGTCCGTAAAATAATCTTACGTAATAACGCTATATTAATTATGTTCACATCCAGCTATAAAATACGAAAGATTTCTGCGTTCTCTATCAAATATTGACCAAAAGAACTCTCTTACTATTTAATTGTTGTTCAAGCTAAAGGTTTCTAGTGCCAAACAAAAACTGAGGTGAGTTCTATGAAAGTCCTTGCTTTTCGGCGACCGTTTCCAAAGTCTAGATAGTCAGAAAGTTTGATTCGCTTCCCTACGCGACACGAAACTAACGGACGACGGAATAATAAGGCCTAAAATGACCTGGCAACGAAAGTCATTTAATTGCCAGCGCGAGAATACGGTAAATTATTACTCCTGTTCAAGTTTTTGGAATACACAGTGGTTTTCGTTTTTATTTAGATGAACATGGTTGGCTACAAAATTGCGAAATTTCTGTTGCTGACGATGGCTGTTGACCTGCTGTTGTTTACTTCGACTGAGGTTAAAGCTTGGTGGGGTAGGCGACGTTACAGATGCTCACCTCATGCACCACCTAAAGGAGTCGCGTGGAAGAACCACTGGCACCAATCCTTATCCTTCGAATGCAAAACGAGTAAGCCAATATAGGATCACTACACGATGATGTCCCTTTCACTTGTCTAGGTTTACTATAGGTTTCTTGTTAAGATTCAAGGCTTTCCGGGCGTCTCCTCAAATTTCCCGATAGTCATCTGTTACAAATTTTAAATCAGATACTTCCAAATTTACAGTCTTAATTGTGGAATTATAATTACGAAATATTTTAATCAGTGGTATCACTGGTAGTTAGCGTGTACACGGTCAGTGATTTTGGTGTTTCAATCAAACTGATCGGTTCGCTATCTTGGACTATGACGTTTTATTCACCGCACAAAGTAACTGATATGACTCTTTTTTGAATAAGGAAAGGTCAACACTTCGATGAATAATAGTGGCCTATATTAAGGCATATGTTCCCTCTGTCACTATTCTCCTCGATTTCGATTAATTGTGATATTATTATCATTATCATTATCATCATTATTGAATTATTATTATCAACACTATTTCCCACCCTTTTATACTCCCTGCATAAAGGACTTGTTTGTCCATAGCGAACCTTTTAATGATTATATATTATAAGCCCGGACAAAGTAAAGGATAATATTACTTAATTATGTTTTGGCAAACACACTCACATTTATTGGTACACAGTAATTAGCGCATTCTCCTGACTGAGTAAATAAACGGAACTGAAGAAAGATTAGAATTGCATACATTGTCCTGTATATCTGCACAAGTTTTCAACTTCGTCTTTATTTCTAATTTCATTCGCTTGTGTAATCTTTAGGCAAATCTATTAGGCTTTGGCAGAGCGAGCATAGCAACTGTGCGGAAGACCGCATTCACTATTTTGAATGTGGATATGGTCCGGGACGATACAGTGAGAGAAACTGCAGATGGACCAGTCATTACGTGAATGACTATGACGGACCAGTGACGTTCAAATGTGGACATAATGGATTTATCACAGGAGTGAAGAGCCATTACAACACCGGTGCTAGAGACCGCAGGTACTTAATATCTCTTTCCCTTCCTTTCTGAAACTGCTGAAAATATTATTTCTGAACATGCAAATAGTTAACGTGTCCGTTTCTCTCTTCCCTTTTTTTCATTCAGGTTTCAATTCCGCTGCTGCCATAAATCTCGGTATAGTATCCGCCACTGTAAGCACACTGCTACTGTGAACCATTGGGATGGTTACTTGTCGTACAGAGTCCCTTCAGGATACTTTTTGACTGGAGCGTACAGTCATCATGTCAACCGTTATGAGTAAGTTTTAACAACCATCTTCTCGTCTGAATTTCAGCCATCTCCTCGAGTCACAAACTCCTGAGGAAGACGACTGAAATTTTCGCTAGGAGCTTCTCAGACGGTCATCATTCTTTGCCTGCTTTGAGCGTTTATACTCCTGGTGAAAGTCCATATTTCTAAAATTACTGCCAAATATGTATCACAAGGGAGGCTGTACGTAAATCGCAACAAAACTTTTGACTGAAACATTAATTATTGTCCTATGGGATTTTAAGCTCAGCACTTGAAATATTACTCCGTCAGTTCTTAGATGTGAGAGACAACACAGAAATTTCACTTTTTTTACACAGAACAAGGATTGTACTGATAAATTTGCCATAATATTATTTTTATTTTTATTATTATTATTATTATTATTATTTTTATTTTAGAATTAACATGTATTACAATTAAACTTTTTGTGTCCATATTATTTCTAGGGATCGTCGCTGGAAGTTTGAGATCTGTCAATTCAAACAAAGCCGTTAAAAAAGGCGTGTCGCAAACAAGGCATCAGCAAAGACGCATTTTGATGGCATCAGCAGAAATAATTAAAATAGGTTAAGTTAAGCTAACTGGTGAAGGGAATGGTGGATTGATTGAGCTACATTTACGAACGGATTTAAATTAAGGAAAATTTTAAAAACTCTTGCGATTTCCTTTGCTGAAAAGACTTGGCTGTATGGTGATGAGAAAATAAAATTACTTTTTGAACACACAATAAAAGGTGCTTTTGTTTGCTTAACAAAATCGGTTTAACCTTTTATCAAGACAAGCCCAACTACTGGAACACAACAAGCCCCTTTGGTCATTAGAACTCAAACATCTAATTTTCTTCAAGAGAAGACGTCTAAGACGACGAAGTCCGAGTTTCCTATAACAAACTAGGTATTTTCTAGCTAGTTCAAATGCCGATCTTAACAAATCGGAAAAACTAACCTTTTCAGAGAAGCAAAAGGCGCCGATGAACTCTGATAACTGTTATCCCTCTTTTTTCTCTTTAAGAAAGCAGGTCATTTAAACCTCTCATATTAATCCCTGATACTGCCCTATGTTCTTATAATTCGTTTTCACTAGTAATAATTATGATAAATTAAATATTAATAGGCCCTTCAAACAGTTTTTTTTTTGCTTTTTCAACTTTTGACATGGACAAGTTAGGGAAAATCTGTCGACACCAACAGAAAGAGCGCCTTAATATTAGTAAAATTGCCAAATTTGAAAGTATTTTGTCTTAAACTAGTGCTGGCACTTTTTTTAGCGAGCGAAGATACAGTTCCTTAAAGGGGTGAAATTTTACAGACGTTTGTGCAGTGGGGAGCACAATAACTTGCCCCCTCCCCCAACATAGAAACGTCTGTAAATTTTCGCAACTCTGCGGAGCTATATTTTCGCTCGCTTAAGACGTATCACTTTCAAGTCTGGCAATTTTACTAATTTAATTTATGGCGCTCTTTCCAGTAGTGTCGACGGATTTTCCGTTATTCAGGGTATTGTCAAAAGCAGTAAAAAGAAAACCTTGGAAGGGTCTATTTGGAACAATCATCGGATTTAACCCATTTGTTATAAATATTAGTGACAGATGTTGAGTTATTCTTAAGTTATTGGAGACAAAAGCAGAGCCTCGTAACTGAAGACACATCAATGTTCAATTTTACCTTTGTCTTCAGATCTTATTATGGCTAAGGCGCGTGGAAATAAGCTTCCTGCTTTTTGGCACCTGAGGCAGTTTCACAACTGTTGCTCCTGGTTCGCGACTTGAAGTGGGATAAAGAGTGTTCAAAATTATTTTGTAAAAAAATCCGTGGTGGATCAGAGAACTTTGGAGGGTTTCAAGTGCTATTTCCGCAGTCGACGATCTGGAATAAGAACTGACCGATTTCCTAAACGTGCCCCAATGGTGCAAGTTTCTAGGAGGAGTCTGCGGGCATTCTTTCCCGGGAAATTTTTTGGATTTTAATTCCCTAGATTAAGTCACCTTTCCAAGGTTTCTGAGACATTCAGACAGTATTTTTACTAGATTTTAACTTGGAACGTTTTTTTTTTTTCATTACAGATATATTTATTTATGAAAAATTTGACTTATTTTCTTAAAACCTTGAAAAACCGGTATGGATCCGCGCCTGTTCAGATTTGTACAATAAAAAGCGAGAAATAAGGTGTGAGGCACATGGCTAGTTAATTTGCACAGAAAAAATTATTGCGAAATTTTAAGAATATTTTTTAAAGAATAAAGCCGAGGCTGTGATTTTAAAAATGACTCAATTTTGTCTTTGAAAATAATAAATACCGCACAATTTATGTAATTTTAAAACTGAACCGTGGAAAATTCCTTATAATTCAATAATATTATCAGCCTAAAATAGACAGAAAAATAAGAATATTCGTCCTGGGTCTGAAAAACAACATTCTTATATACATATGTATCAAAATAGTCAAGGGTGAATTGAAATGCTGGTGTTGGACGTACAGCGACGCTCTTATATATGTTGTGGTTCACTTTATCCATGGTTTACATTATAATTTTCTTTTGCTTTTGGGTATGGTAAATGGATGACAACGAGTTTGAGACAAAAGAGTAAAATTTAAACCAAGGAATGCATATCTCCGCGAAAAGAAAAAAAGGATTGACTCTTGAGAAACACAGTTTTCCTAAACAGGGTATAGACATTTTAGGATTTCCCTTTTGCTCTAAACTGGGTCAGGGTTTCAAACCCTCAGTAGCAGGGCGGATAAATGTTGGGCGGTGAAACGAGCGCTCCGCTCTTCATTTAATGTGTGATGCGGAGCAGGACTAGCACGAGCGCTCTTTCCGCGCTTCCGGTGCGCTTGAAGGCCGGCGAAATTTTACCTTTTTGCAAACCGGAAATCCTTTTTTCTTTCTGTAATTTCAGGCTACAATGTTAAATAGATTCATAACGATATCAATAACCAGTTTCATATGTTTGTGTCTGTATGCCTATAAGTCAAACTTGTTGGGCGTATAATG